CTAGTGTATAGAGTAGGTTGGCAATGCTCGTTGTGACCGTCGCCCCTACATCCGGAGAGAACTAGCCACCTCAGCCTTCGCCGATATGCTTTTCAGCATTGCTAACCATGTACCGTGATGAAACAGCTATGATACCCCCTACCGTCTACTACTCGAGGGTCGGACTTGAGCTCGCCAGGCTGGTGTTCCGTGGACAGAACATGACTCCTCCGTAAGCGCAATCGAAGTGTCGACTGTTATCAGCTTTTACTAACTCACCCATCAGCAACCTGGCTACCTTCCAGTCCTACTTCCAGCCTTTGATCAGCTCTTTCAGCAACCCCGCCGCCCTCAAGAACGCCAGCTTCGCCCCTTCGAATGTTGTCGCTCGCGTGCGCAATGCCAGCGTTAAGGAGATCGCCCTGGCCGGTGTCACCGTCGCTGAGGTTATCGGATTCTTCACCGTTGGCGAGATGATCGGTAGAATGAACATTGTCGGCTACCGGGGCCACGCTGAGCACCATGGAGACCACTAGATGAACCGCAAGCACTAATGCATAACCTGTCTTTTCTATATTTCCTATTTCCTTGCGTTCTGTACTATTGTATGATAGACGATGGAATTTAACTGTTGTCTGAGGTAAATCGTGCACATTTGGGGGTTATATTCTTCTGGATGTTTTTCGTTCAGGAGTGCTATACATGTCTATTGATTTTTTGTCTTGTTCCTTTTGTCATTTTAAAAGTGGAAGTCCTATAGATGTTCGTCTTATCCTTTAGACATACTTTTTCTTATTTTTAAAATGGTTAAAATATAATGAAGTGAGTGTGCATGACACAAATCTGTCCAGTAGAACTGGCCATATGGTATTATAGTGAAAATTCTAGAACCGACCTGTATGCTATAGAATGAATATTAGCAGGAACTATTTTTGTGGAGTTCTTTTTTTTTACCCAAGAACGGACCCAATGGAGCAGGATCGCATGCTTGTCTCTGATTGGCCCGTGCGGGAGAGAATTTCTGCTTCCAAAACTTTTTTTTATACCGAGTTACTCGACAACCACCAACAAGACACTTTATATCTGTAAATCTGTCACAGCTGTCCACATAGCGTCTATTTTGCAAAGGAACAACCCTGTTCCCACTCGCAGCGATGGACGCTTTCAAGCTGTTGACACGGTCCACTAAGTTGAAGACTGGTCCCACCCAGCCTGCAACATCAGCATCAAGCCGTCTTCCTTCCACAGGCAAGGCAGAAAACCCGCAGTTATTCCGTAATTCCGAGGCGGAAAAGTTTCTCGAAGACAAGAATAATGGCAAGAAAAGAAAGCGCGGTAGTGCCGTCCAGGAGCCTGAAGATGATGTAAATCTGGACTTTTTCAGCTCTAACAGGGGCTCTTCGGCGCGGAGTGCGAAGAAAGTTGAAGAGCCGTCATCCGACAAGGAGGATGCGTCCCACTCTGAGTCGGAGGATGAAATGGATGAAGTGGAGCGTCGCACGATCTTGAACGCTCATAAGATCAAGGTGACGGACATGCGCGATCTCGAGGAGATTCAACCTGCGCAGGCGCAGGGCGAAGAGGAGCCGAAGAAGAAAAAGAAGAAGAGAAAGCAGAAGGAGGAGTCGGCGGCGCCGGCTCTCACTAAAAAGGAGCAGAAGAAGGCCCGTCGGTTATTTCCGCGCCCTCTTACTTCGTTCAAGGAGTTGCGCTCTGTCTTTAAGATTTCGCACCGTCTGGCGGAGAATGTCCAGGAACAGGGATTCAGTGTTCCCACTGAGGTGCAGCTGGGCTCGCTTCCTTTGCTTCTTGGGGATCGGTCGGTTTCGCAGTCGAAGACTGATGAATTTGTGGAACCGGATCTGTTGGTTGTTGCGCCGACGGGAAGTGGAAAGACTCTGTCGTTTTTGATCCCTGTGGTCAATAAGATTATTTGCCATCATCATGCGCAGCAGGATGAACGGGGTATCTTCTCTATTGTCGTTGCGCCTACAAAGGAGCTGGCAAGCCAGATTGTTAATGAAGGAAGGAAATTGGTCGCCGGAACCGGTGTGAAGATCACCCTCATGAAGAAGGGCATGCGCGTGGTCGAACGTGAGGATGAGGATAAAGACGCATTGAACGAAAGTGGCTCGGAGTCTTCGGAATCGGAGGGTGAAGAAGACGCTACTGAGAAGAAGAGCAAGGGCAAGGCCCCTGTCACTAAGAGCGACATTCTTGTCACGACTCCACTGCAACTCGTCAATGCATTGACCGCAAACCGAACCAAACCCATAGCCACTCTTCCTTTGGTGAGAAATATTGTGTTGGATGAGGCGGATGTACTGCTAGACCCTCTGTTCCGCGAGCAGACTCTAGATATCTGGCGTGCCTGTACGCATCCCGAGCTCCGTGCGAGTCTTTGGTCCGCCACCATGGGATCAAACATCGAGGATCTTGCCAAGTCGACCATTAAAGAGCGCAAGGAAGTTTCTAGCCTTACAAAGTCCTATCCGTTGTATCGACTTGTTGTTGGCCTGAAGGACTCGGCCATTCCTAACATTCAGCACAAGCTAGTCTATGCGGCTACTGAACAAGGAAAGCTGCTGGGATTAAGACAGCTTCTGCACCCCGCAGCAGCTGCTGCTTCAGATGTTCGCCTTCGCCCACCATTTTTGATTTTCACCCAGACCATTCCCAGAGCAGTCGCGCTGCATTCAGAATTGCGCTACGATATTCCCCCTGAGGCTGGTGGTTCGTCACGTATTGCTGTTCTCCATTCCGACCTGTCAGACAACCAGCGTTCCGATATCATGAAGAACTTCCGCAAGGGCGAGATTTGGATTCTCGTTACGACGGACCTATTGGCTCGTGGTATTGACTTCCGCGGCATTAATGGTGTTGTTAACTACGATATTCCCAACTCCGCGGCAGTCTACGTTCACCGAGTCGGACGTACGGGCAGAGCGGGCCGAGAAGGTGGTGTCGCGGTCACGTACTACACAAAGGAAGATATCCCCTACGTCAAGAGCATCGCCAACATCATCGACATCAGCGAGAAATTACGCGGCTCCGAAGGTGAGAAGTCCATCCAGAAATGGCTCCTGGATTCCTTGCCGGATCTCAGCAAGAAGAACAAGCAAGAGTTGAAGAAACATGGCGTCAAGGCCAGGCAGACAAACCTGAAGGGAGTGGACAACAAGGATCAGCGGAAGTCAAAAATCAGCACGAAGAGTGGTTTCGAGCGACGCATGGAGAACAAGAAGAAGGGTGCCATTGCCGCCAGTCGCAACAGAAAGCTTCAGCAGAAGCCATCCGGAGCAGATGCCGAGAGTGGTGACGAGGAATGAAGTCCTCTCACACCCTGTAATAACAAACAATAACCCTGTACAAAATCAACACTTACGATTCCCCCTTCCAAGAGAAAAAGCAAGAATGAATCACTCAAGAATTACCTTTTTTACTAGTAGCCTGCTGCAAAAGCTGCTCGATCAAAATTCGCTTCAAAGTAATCGGCGCAAACGCATTATCCAGTTTGTCCTGTTCCTCCAATACCCCCTCCAGCTCATCTCCATCCCGATCAAAATAAACCGCCCACTCTCCATCGTCCTCCTGCACCGCAAAGAAGTCCGGACTCTCCTCTAGCGTAATAGTCGTCTCGTCCTCCGTCCAATCCCACGGCCCAACAAGGTGCTCCACGCTCGCCGACCGATTCCCATACTTCAGCTCATGCGTATCCTCATCCACATAAATCCACCCCAACATCGGCGGATTATCCGCGATACTCGTAACCAGCCCCAACCCCCGCTTAAGATGCTTCGTCTCGTCCAGCTCCGGGTACTCGATATAAAAGGACGTCACAGTATGCGAGGGCGTTTTCCGCCTCGACGGAATCGGATCATCAAGATACACCTATCGCAAGATCATACATTAGCATATTACTCTCCCATACTTTCTTCCTCTCTCTTCCCCTCCTCTTTATCCTTCGTGCAATAGGAATTCAACAAATACTCACTTTATTATTCCTCAAGACAAACCTCTTCCCACTAACTTCCCCATCTTCTTGTGTTTCCCCTTCAGTCTCCACATCGACAAGGAATTTAGCCATGCGCCGCTCGTCATTCCTGCGCTCGTTCGCCTTTCGTTGCTCGCTTACTCCCAATGCCACGCCCGTTACGGTGGGGATGGCTGCTAGTGTTAGGAGGCCGATGACCATTTTTTTTTTCTCGTTTGGAATGTGGTTGTGAGGTAGTTCAATTTGTACAGTGCTTTAGAGTATTTATAAAAGTGTATTTGATTTGAAAGGATATGTACAGTGTGAGAATATGTCTAGGGAAGATGTGGCTATTGATTTGTTTTTGGTTTGTGATAGGGTCAGGAACGGGGGTATGACGGCATAGGTTGCTGGGTCCCACGTGATGGGCGTAGCTTGGCCAATTGATGAGGTGGTTGCCTTAGGTGTCTAGGTTTTGTGATAAAGAAAGTATACGAAGTACAAGATACAGTGTTCATTTCAACATATAAGACAGGCACTTTCTACGTGGAGGGCTTTGTTTACCCTTACTCTAAATAGTTGTATGTTACTAAATAGTAAATTAGTGACTGAAATATGCCACACTGTATAGAACTCACTATGATCTGAACACTGCTTCAAAACTTCAAAGTAGTATATATAACTACTTCTCTTGTATAAGTATAGCATTTCACCACACTATATTAGTATAATAAAATTCAAAAGACAAAAGCACAAAACCCCATGAAATATCACTACTAAGGCACATCACCAAAAACAAAGTCGGTAAACACCCACAAAATAACAACTACCCCCTCAGTCAACTGTTTATTTACTCTTCTAACCTATTCTCTCCACAATCCCCTTTAATACAAAGTACAGTACTAATGAGACTCAAACACGCTTGAACTGTACAAAGCGCTCTATATCACTGAACCACACAGCAGATACCGATAACCAAGAAAACATGGCTGCGCTACTTTACTGCAGCCTGGGATACCAGACACTTTGCGTATCATCTCATCATCCAGTCAGTGTGGCCGAGTGGTTAAGGCGATTGACTTGAATTCTACTTCTGGGTTTACATCTGGATGTACAAAATTCGTCATCAATTCCGTTCGCGGGCGTAGGTTCAAATCCTGCCGCTGACGACATATCTTTTTTTTGCTGGGTATATATAGTATATATACTAAATTAGTCTGGAAGGCTAGTGCGCTGGAATTTGGAAGGACGTGTCGTGTCTGCTTGATATTGTGTTCTCATGACTGATAGGGAGACAAATGGTTGGTGGACAGGGCGTTGGGTGGACCAAAACATTGTTCAAACAGTTTCAACCTAGTTTGCGGATGAGTTCGAATAGACTGTGTCCTGGTTACCTTTAGACGGTCGCAATCACTGTACCCTAAATAAACACTCTCGATGGATATATTAAGCTGATGACCATGAATTTTCTCTATTAACGATGAACCTGCCAATCGCTTCCTGTAACTTCTATGTAGTCTATCTCTATCCTCTTTCATTGATCGTGTATCATGAGTCCTCGTGAATCTGTTGTTCGGGTAGATTTGGATCTGGCCATGCAGGCCGACGAGCTGCTCGACTGATGGACCAAGGCTAAAGCTTCTCGCTCCACCCCCAGATGGACCACCAGCATCGAACGGCCAGCGCTCCCCCATCTGCCGTCTCCCAGTCGTCATATCCAACCTCCTCGCCCTCGTCAACTACTGCCAGACCAAGCTGTCCCATCCGCTCTCGGAACTCCTGCACCTGCGGCAGATATGCGTCCCGCAATGGCATCTCTACCACAACGCGTGCGTCGAGACCACGGCTCAACCAGACGCCGACAGTGTCTACAAGCCACTTAGGGTGTTTGGGTGAGTATAGAGGATCTGCGGCCAGAATAAGGTCGTATTGTTCCTCCGGTGTGGGGAGCGGTTCGGGCGCAACAGACCAGTCCAGCACGTCAGTCGTCACGGTTGCACTCGTCCTGGTGAGCAGTTCAACATTCAGCGCTGCATTATGGGCAAGGTTGGGGACGATATCGGGAAGGTCTGTGAGATGGATCGATGCTAATTTGCCGCGGATCGCTGCGAAGGAAAGCCCCACGAGCCCAGTTCCTGCCCCAAGCTCAAGGGCCCGAAGTGTGCGATCAGCCTTGGGGGCCGGGGTAGTCGACTCGGCTGGAACGAGTTGCGGGGTGGACTCGAGGAGGGAGTGGAGACGCTGGGAGAGAAGATATGACGACACCCAGGTCTTCATGCCCAAGTTGTCAGCGGTCAAGGATGGTTCATGCAGGGTCAAAGTCAGCTCTTCGCCCCAAGGACTGGGGATTGTGAAAACACGAGACATGGCAGGCATCGCTACGAAGAAAACCAATGTTAGACAACACGACATCCCAGGGATATTTCAACTACAAAAAGCAATCCTCCTACCGGCTCGCCCAGACCGCTCGCTGAGTCGAGCTGCAGCACTATCCCATACGGCTTCTCGAAGCTCGTCAGTATCTAGCCATGACAAGGAACTCGAGATGATCGACGTCAAATAACGAGTGACTCCGGTTGGATGTACAGCAGGTCCCTTCACCGCTTCATTAGTATTGACATTGAAAGATTTCGGCTTGATCGCTAAAAGGTCGAGGGCTCGAATGATTTCGGTGCCAGAGGGTTTGGTATAAATTTGTGGAAGGTCGAGCACTGATCTTATCAGTTCACTATCGCTCCTATCAATTCGGAGAAAACTGGAGACCTACCGTGGAGAGGCTCGTCGGAGTCTGCACTGATCATCTTGTTGTTAATAAATTCAAATAGGACTTTGCTGCGGTTCTGATCAGGAATAAGAAATGTAGACAGGGGCAAAGTTTCTTTTCTTCTTTATATTAGGGGGTATCTGTGGCAAAACAAAACGTGGGCGGATCTGTTGGTCCGGAACAAAAAAAAAAAAAAAAAAAAAAAAAAAAAAAAAAAGTCGTTATCTCCCAATCAGGAAAGGCTGGTTTATGGGGTTCCGCGGATCGGATCTGTTCCGGAGATAAGCCTGGCCCTGAATACCACTTTTTAGACACATATCTTTCGACAACTACGATCTTTTTTTCTTTCTTTCTTTCTCTCTTTCAAGGCGTTATCAAGTCACACTCCAAACACCTCTAACCAAGTCCCTAGCTCCAACCTCTCCAGCGATTTGACTTCTCTACTTCTTCAATCCAGCGTCGACTTGAACCCTTGGTAGGCCTGTTCAATGTCGAATGCTAATTCTCTTGCCTGTTCTTCACCCAGTTCCTCAGTCGCGCGCATTTGGTTCAAGGTGATTAGCCATTGGATAATCTTGCCCCGGTTCTCGAAGTCGCCGTCCGTCACCTTGTTGACCGATTGAATCACTTCCGACAGCAACGGGTGAAGCGCATCCTTGGACACCATATTGAGCTTCAAAGCATCGAGGAAGGTGATGAAATTCTCCGTCGCCGTCAAGATCAAACCACCGGAAGCGCCACCAGCTGCGCCTGTTGCTGTCGGCCCTATATTAGCTGAGGGTGTGTTATGAGAGGCTTGTTCGACGGTGGCAGGAAGTCCGATTCGAAGACGTTCAGTCGCACGAGGGCATTCCAACTAACACAGAGGAGTAATTAGATTCAGGTTGTCAAGGTGCAGCCTGGAGATGTTAGAACCCACCCCCCATGTTTGCTTAAAGGTTTCCAAGTCGACAAACTCTCTCGCGACCGTGTCATCGCCGAGACTCGACTTGTACTGCTTCAGCAATCGGGTACACGTCTCCGTGTATTCCGACTCTGTGACCACATCTTTGATATAAGCCTTCTCCAACCCATCAAGGGTAACTATGATGCTGTAGATTTCAGCCAGCGACTCGTAGAGATCACGCTCGGCCGAGCTAGAGGCTAATTTAACTTCCTGGCGTGGGAGTTAGCCAGCTGCCGCGCCAAGCAAGCCAGACATCCCATCATACCTCATCGAGACTGATGGACGCCGACAAGGCTGGATTAGGAGTGTAACTGTATGGAGTGGGCGCATACGCTAATGGGCGTTGAGCATACATGATGATCCAAACTCCGAGTATTGTATAGATTGAATTGCGACAAGACGATGGGGAAACAGTTGCGGGAGGGGAAGAAAGGCGGTGGCCCAATTGGGCGATCGGCGCCGCCCTTTTCTGCCGCAACTTCTGATTTTTTTTCTTTTTACTCAAAAAAACTTTTGTAACCTTCTTTTCTCCATTCGGTGAATTCTTGATTTTCACCTTCATTCAATTTCCCCCATTTTGTACTTTTGATCCCCTCTGCTCGGTCAGATCGGGACATCGTCACACAATGGCCGGAGGTCAGAAAAAGTCCACCAAGAAGTTCGAGAAGAGACATCTTAAGGATGTTCTCGAACGTCGGAAGGCGGTTGCCAAAGTCAAGCAGCGCAATCATCTGAAGGAGAAACGCAAGGCTGACAATGCTCGGGAGCGTGCTGATGCTAACGAATCTGCGGATGAAAGTTCGGAAGAGGTGAAGAAGCAGAATGCTTTTGCTCAAATGAACGTTGACGACTTCTTTTCGGGCGGTTTCGACATCGCCGACGCCGACGCCGGTCAAGCCAAGAAGGCTCAGAAGAAGGATGTTCCTACTAAGATTGGCAAGCGCAAGCGCGCGGAAGACCAGAAGGAAGCCGGCGCGGACTCAGCTAGCGATGAAGAGGATGTGCCAGCCCAGAGTGACGACGAGGCTGCCTCCGAGGCCAGCGGACCCGACGATTTCGAAGCGCACAAGGACCACCTGGAAGCTCTGAAGGACAAGGACCCCGAATTCTACAAGTACCTCAAAGAGAACGATGCGGAGCTGCTCGACTTCGGCGACCACGGCGATCTCGCGGAAGTGGACGAGCTGAGCGAAGGCGAAGAAGAGCAACCCGCGAAGAAGAAAAAGAAGGCCGCCCGGGAGGCAGAAGAGCAGTTGATCGATAACACACTCACTATCCCAATGGTGAAGAAATGGCACAAGTTGATGGATGAGCAAAATTCGATCAGGGCCATGCGACAAGCAGTGCTCGCTTTCCGCTCGGCCGCCTATCTCAACGAAGTGGACGCTCAGGATCAGAAATACACCATCTCCGATCCTGAAGTGTATCACCAAGTCCTTGTCACAGCCCTCGGCTCCGTTCCTAAAGTCCTGTCACATCATCTCCCCGTTAAAGAGTCCGCTTCCGGCAAGGTCAGGGTGTCTCTGGACTCGAAGAAGTTCAAGACTCTCACACCTCTCATCAAGTCGTATACCTCCTCCGTTCACCAGCTACTCATAAACCTTTCCGATGCGCAAACGCTGAAGCTCACCCTTTCCGCCATCGAGCCCATGCTCCCTTATCTGCTCCAGTTCAGAAAGTTGCTGAAGGTTCTCGTCAAGACGATCGTCGGCATCTGGGCGGATGTTTCTACCACGGAAGCCACACGTATCACAGGATTCCTGCTGATGCGCCGTCTGATGGTGATTGGAGACGCCGGTCTCAAGGAAACCGTCCTTAAATCCTCCTACGAGGGTGTCGTGAAGGGGAGTCGCAACACGACCGTGCACACCCTCCCCGGTGTCAACCTGATGAAGAACTCCGCCGCAGAGCTGTGGGGTATCGACCAGAACGTCTCCTACACCGCCGGCTTCAACTTCATCCGCCAACTTGCCATCCATCTCCGCAGTAGCATCACCAACACCTCCAAGGAGTCCTACAAGACCATCTACAACTGGCAGTACGTGCACTCGCTAGACTTCTGGTCCCGTGTTCTCTCCCAGCACTGCGATGGCCTCGCCGAAGCCAAAGCCGGCAAACAATCGGCCATGCGCCCTCTCATCTACCCCGTTGTCCAGATCACCGTCGGTGCGATGCGCCTCATCCCCACAGCCACTTACTTCCCTCTCCGCTTCCAATTGACCCGCTCTCTCCTCCGTCTCTCCCGCTCCACGGGCACCTACATCCCCCTGGCATCTGCCCTCCTCGAGGTTCTCAACTCCGCCGAGATGCGCAAGCCCCCGAAATCCAGCACCCTCAAACAACTCGATTTCAACACCACCATCCGCGCCCCGAAATCCTACCTCCGCACCCGCGTCTACCAAGACGGCGTCGGCGACCAGGTCGCCGAGCTCCTCTCCGAGTTCTTCGTCCTCTGGACC